TATTGTAAAATGATTTTTTTATATGTTGCACACCGGGTGAAGAATCAGTCGTGTAACATCGACGGTTCCTCCTGTTCACGATGGGACGTTTTGATTGACAACAACCCAAATGATACAGAAGAAACCAAAATAATAAATACTAATTTTAGAAAGTGGGTGATTTATTTTAGGCCAGCATCGGTAACTGTCGAAGTATAGCCAATTAATGAACATGAATTACGAGCAAATTGGTCGGAAAGTTTCGGAACCATATGGATTATCGATAAAGTTTGCTAGAATTTAGACTTTTACACCGCATAATTGCGCATAATCCTCAAAATTTTTTGTTCTGCCAAAAATTGCTCATAACTCAAAAGTTAGCATAAGAAACCACCTTTTGTGCTCTAACAAAAAGTTTTCGTTGAACAATTTTACTATACCAACTATTCTCCTTTAGATCCTAACTTTGATCCCAACCCTAACCTTAACGAATTTTAGTCTTCGCCGACACATTTACGATATGCAAATTTACAATTAAATTGTCATAACTTAAGCTAGAAATGGCGAAAGCTGGAGATTAGGGATGACATTTCATCGTGATTAAATAAAAATAAATAGATCCTGTTTTCTTTAATTCTAATTTTAATTACCTTTGTATATTCGGAAATAGTTTAATAAAAATAAATTCAATGAATGGGCAAAATCAATATTCTCTTCTTGACATGAAAAACACAGAACTTTTAGATTTTGAGGGTGGCCAAATCATTAGCAAATATGAAGAAGATATTAAAAAAAATGGTATTCATCATATAACTAAAATACCGTTATCAAACTATAACATTATTAATCATTAAAAAGAAACAGATCCTGTGATCCTTGAAAAATGTTCGATTTTAACTGATCGTGACTATAAAGCCTTAGAACAATTGGCTGAAATATATATATCAACATGGCCATAACTCAAGAATTTTGAAAATTCATATTTCTGAAAGTACTATTCGATGTTGTTTATATCGAGCCTTAAATATATATAATTTTGGTCCAAAATAATAAATGATATTACCCAAAATCTTTATTGTCAAAGAAAAATATAATTGAAAGATACATTTCAAGAAATTAATTCAATAAATTGGATGCATGTTATTTAGAGTAATGCCATTCTGCAAAAAAATTCTTTCTTGTTTGCGTCCAAAAATCCAGAATCTATTATAGTTTGAGGTTATTTTGGTAAAGTGGTCTTTGTCATTTGGTAATCATAAATGAAACGATTATCATTATACAAGATATATACATATGGGGCTGCTATCGATAGAAATCAAGCAGATTTACATTTTTAAAAAAACTTAATTCTTTAACTTTCGCTGCTTATATCTCGACGAATTTCGAAGTTATTCTCATTATTGAATAGTCAAAAGAAAGCTTGATATATAAACTTTCTTTTTATTATTCAATCATGATAGTAGTTTCGAAATTCATCGAGATATAAGCAGCAAAAGTTAAAGCATTATTTTTTAAAAAAATGTCAATCTGCTTGATTTTTATTGATGGTGGCCCATATATACCAGTTCACAGCTTACCCAGATCCGGATCTGAACTAGAGCCTACAAAAAGAAAGGAAAAAGAAAATTAGTACAGTACCTGTCAAAAAAAATTTTTTTAAAAAAAAGAATCAAACTCAAATACCCCAAATAATCAACATGACCAAAGCTTTCCACCTTTTGATCCAAGATAATTATCACTAAGATACAAAGAAGTCAACATAGCATTATTGCAAAGTGCATCTGTTAATGTTATTCTAATGTTTAATCCAAATCTATTCATAATAAGAACCAATAAAGTTATATCAATTTTGTATTTCAATACCCTATATTTATATTTGTATAATAATTTAAATATATAAACATTTTAAAGTACTAATAAATTTATATTTTTATTTTTTGATATTACCATAATTCATACGTATGTACAACGCACACAAAAAATTTACTTTTGCTGATTTGATATTTGTGCATATGGCGTAACTACAAAAAATTGTGGCTAAATACCGTACCGATATAAACAGGAAGAACCTTCGATATTAAACAACTGATCCTTCACCCGGTGTGCAACATATAAAAAAATTATTTTACAATACCATATCATTCTGCTAGTACATGTTATAATTATAATCCCACACCATTTTATTATAATAAAAATGGTGTGGATTATAATCATAAAATATTCTAGCGAAATGATCTGGTATTGTAAAATAATTTTTTTATTGTTGCACACCGGGTGAAGGATCATTCGTGTAACATCGACGTTCCTCCTGTGCAATTGTATAATCACTACTGAAATAAATAAAGCAGCATCGTTAAAACATTTGTTGCATTTTTATCGTTTTTTTTCGTAAATCAGGATGGCAAAAGAAAATTTTAATCAATTGAATTTCAATGAATGTCAAGAATTAGCAAATACGAACGATCCAAACGGAATTTATTTGCTTGGTTATTGTTACGAACATGGAATTTGAGTTGAAAAGGACGAAAACAATGCCTTCGTTATTATAAAAAATCAGCAGACCTTAATAATTCAGACGGAATGTATCAAGTTGGTTATTGTTATTATTTAGGAATTGGAGTTGAAATCGATAAAAAAAGTATTATTTAAAGTCAGCTGAGGCAGGTAATTCAATGGGAATTCGGAAAACTGCCATTTGTTACTATTACAGAATTGGTGTAAAAATGAATATTAATGAATTTTGGGAATGGAGTAGCAAGTAAGCTAATTTTTTAATAATTTAATTTTATTTATTAGGGAGTAAGTATAAAAAAATCTGGTAATTACAATTAAGTTCATAAATATTAATTAATTGTTGGTATTAATTTAGCCCGTAAGTGTAAAAGACATTTTTATTAATCATTGGAATTAAAACAAGTTCACGAATCAAGGACATTTATACTTACCATTACCTAATACCCTTCAACTCATTTCATTCGCATTAATCATTCATTCAGTCTGTGAGTATAAAGAACATTTATTAATCATTGGGATTAAAAAACAAGTTCACAAGTCAAGAACATAAATAAATACTTATTTACTATTGTCTAATACCCTTCAAATCATTTCATTTGCATTAATCATTCATTCAGTGAGTATAAAGAATATTTATTAATTATTGGAATTAAAAACAAGGTTATAAATCAAGAGCATAAATACTTATTTACCATTACCTAATACCTTCAAATCATTTCATTCGCATAAATTATTCATTCAGTGTGTGAGTATAAAGAAGATTTATTAATAATTGGAATTAAAAACAAGTTCACAAATTAAAACATAAACACTTATTTACCTAATACCCTTCAAATAATTTCATTCGCATTAATCATTCATTCAGTCGGTGAGTAGGAATCGAAAACAAGTTCATAAATCAACAACATAAATACTTATTTACCATTACCTAATACCCTTCAAACCATTTCATTTGAATTAATTATTCATTCAGTTCGTGAGTATAAAGAACATTTATTAATCATTGGGATTAAAAACAAGTTCACAAATCAATAACATAATACTTATTTACCATTACATAATACCTTCAAATCATTTCATTCGCATTAATCATTCATTCAGTATGTGAGTATAAATAACATTTATTAATCATTGGAATTTTGAACAGCAAAACAAGTTCACAAGTCAAGAACATAAAATACTTATTTACCATTGTATTATGCAATTACTATTATGTAATACCCTTCAAATCATTTCATGCGCGTTAATCATTCATTCAGCTTGTGAGTATAAAGAACATTTATTTATTAACCATTGGAATTTTGAACAGCAAAGTAGGTTCACAAATCAAGATCATAAATACTTATTTACTATTACTATTATGCAATTACTATTATGTAATACTCTTCAAATAATTTCATTCACATTAATCATTCTTTCAGTACGTGAGTATAAAGAACATTTATTAATTATTGGAATTTTGAACAGCAAAGCAAGTTCACAAATCAAGAACATAAATAC